TTGATAATACGAAGAAAATAACAATGTGTTTTTTAAATGTTAAATTTTAGACTGGGTTTCAGTGTGGCAGCAACGTTAAGAGTATACACCTGATGATGGCCGATAGAGGCCGAAACATGTAGTGTAGAAGAGAACAAGATCAAAGACATATAATATATATTGTTTGCACTTGGGACGGAGTTTGTATCATTTATTTATAGAACACCGTGTTATGAACATTGCCTTTCAGAAGCTTTGAATAGCAAGAGATTGACATTGGAAAGCAAAGCAGAATATAATCTCTGCTTTCTGAACGTGTATTATCAATACGAGGATTTGTGTGTAAGCAACAATGGAGAGACAAGTACTGCTGTTGGGATAGAGAATTATGGACATTTCAGTGGAAGGTAATCGACATTAACACGCTTCCTACGCGGCAAATGCTAACATATTGAGAGAGATTCTGTTCAGCTGATAATCTCTTGTGGAGTCCAAAGGACAACGAAGATTAAGAAAACAACAAAAAGTTACACCGCTTTGTTAAATATTATAAATGCATTGTAATCAGGTATGAGGAGGAGTAATGGTCAACGTCCAAGGGGCAATCAATGAACCACAAATGTAAACGAATCTTTATCAACAGGGTGACGAATTGCATGAAACAAAAGCGTAAGCTTATATGTAAAGTCGAACTTTGGTAAAAAGTTCAAAGTTTAAAGAGTTCTGACTAGAAGGTAGGCACAAGTGCTCTTTACGTTATATCTTAGGCTGCAGTATCATTATGAATTGGTCAGTCCAGAGAAGGGAGCTCACTGATCGACATCTCATATCTCCTGGAAAGAATAAACTTGGTAAGTAATGTTCTCATAGTCAATGTAATACAGTGCTTCGTCCGACTGTTGCTTCAGTCAGTGTCAACCGTAATACAGTGCATTATTTTCACATATTTTTGTGTGTGTTAAAAGTGACTTATCTAACAAATGGTGTTATACATTAATTACACAATCATTTACATCTTAAAAAGTATAAATGTCGTGAATGACTTAATTTCGTGGCAAGTGACATATGTGCAGAGACCATCTATCGTGGATACTAAATAATAACTTATCAATAGAATGTATATAAAATGTTATTTCTATCTTCCCGCACCACAATTTGTGCTGCCCAGCCAGTAATTAATAGGTGGAGCGATTCCACAACTTTTAATTCTGAAATCTATCTTAAATTGTCAAATAACTTGAAACTGTATAATTTATTAAGATTTATGGATTATCATAAATATTTGGAACAAGTACAGGCACAAGAACTGCCTAACTCCATGGGGAAGAATATCTCTGGAGAATTTTATAGTCTCTCAGCTTTATATGAGATCGGAAATTTAACTTTTGTGTTCACATCAATCAGTCACCGGTTAATAATCTTGAGCCATATGAATCCAATCCACATCTTCACACAACGGTATCTTCTGTGAAGATCTGCTCGCCTACACTCGTTTCGATATATTATTGGTTTCATATATTCTTTGTAGTTGTTATGTATTATAGTTTCTTTATGTAATAGACCCATTATGCTGCAAGCACTCTAATGAAAGAATCGAATTATTATATACATACAATACCTGTATTACTAGATTTAAGAAAATTCTGTTTTTGTAAAGAAATTTCTCTAATATTACTGACACTGACTCTCTAATAACAATTAAGATTCGCAATGCAATATACTGCTTTATATACAGGGCTATAATTCAGTGTTACGTACAGAGAAAGTGTAGTTAACTTCCACATTATTTCTCTTCAATTACGCTACTTCAATAAGTTTAAAATCATATACTTCAGAGTGTAGAGCCGTTACTAGGTAACGATCGCAAAGAAATAGGTTCTCGCGGCAAAGAATCAACATGCTATAACAGAGGAACTGCTGGCTGGCGAGGACCATCAGCAATTGTAAATGATAGATCCATCCTCTCTTCAGAGAGGAGGTTACATAAGGACTATAACCGCAAGTGTTCAGTTGAAAAAACAACCCTGGTCGTGGGTCTCAATGGGCTTGGAGCCAAGACGAACTGATTGACGGTAAACTGCCAGTCGTAAAGTAACCTTGAGTCTGACTCTGCTTAGTTCAGTGTTAAAATCCGTTACCAGGAAAAGTCTAGCGAAGACAGAGATTTTAAGTGATATTTGGTGCGTAATTCAGCGAGACTGTTATATTTATTTGTATTTACGATTCGTAAGTGGTCAGTAAATCCAATTACCTATCCAAACCCCATCTATAGTCACTCTAACACGTGAAAATACTTTAAATATATATAACTTATATATTTATTTAGACTGAATTTAATTTGTTGAATACATGTGACCTTATATTCTTCTCTTTTCTTAGAATGAAAAATGACTAACATCATAGCAAAGATAAGAATAGAAACTGGTGCTCCCTCAGAAGAAGTTCGGCTTATAGCTGAGAAGGAACTGAGAGAGACGCCGGACAGAGTCAGAAAAGCAACTACAGCTCTTCGAGAACTTCTGAGGTGTTAGTATGAAGCACTTATAAATTCAGTACGTCACTAGCAACTGCTGAACAACTCCGCTTTAGTGCAGCGTGCATCTATAATGTTAACATTTGATTCACGAAGAAATTAAGAGCAGGTTAACTACAAGTAATTCTTGGTACCGTTTAGTTCAGAAACTTTTGTCTTTTTGTCTGCTGTATGAAAACATAAACATTGAAACATGTAAAACTATAATTCTCCTGTGGTTCNTCTGCTGTATGAAAACATAAAACTGAAACATGTAAAACTATAATTTTCCTGTGGATTTGTATAGGTGTGAAATGTGATCTGTGACATTGAGGGAAGAACTTACGCAGAGGGTATTTGAAAACAAGGTGCTGAAGGGAATATTTTGACTTAAGAGGGACGAAATGGTAGAAGATTGGAGAAAATTACATTATAGGGAGCTTCATAACAGACCAATCAAGTCAAAGATGATGAGATGTGCAGTTCGCGTAACAAGCATGGGCATAAGAGGATTGTATATAGGATTTTGATGAGAATGCCAGGAGAGAGACCATTAAGTAAACCTAGACGCAGGAGGGAGGATAATATTAAAATTGATCTTAGAGAAATAAGATGGGTGGCGTGGACTGGATTGATCTGGCTCAGGATATGGACCAGTGGAGGGATCTAATGAACACGGCAATGAACCTTCGAGTTCCATAAAATTTTGGAAAATCTTTGAGTGAGTTATCATCTCCTAGCAATTGTGTTCTAAAGAAATGAAGTAATTATTGATAGATGAATATAAAATTAAATTTTTGTATTGGAAATATGATTCTATAGGAACTGTTTTTATGAAGACTACACAGAGAAGTGTTTAGTGGATGAACATGAACTACAGTCAGTATCTGAATCACGGAATTACTACATATATAACTGCATAATTTTCGATGAAACAGTTATGTTACGAAGCCAATCGGACCACAGACAAGCACCACATAATGTGTATCAAATATATTCCATCTGATTTTGTGAAATATACATGGCATTGAAATATTCTTCAAATGAAAGTTGTAAACCTTAATGTTATACACAGTTTGTGTCACATCATGTGTTACAATTGCCGGTCACGGTAGCCGAGCGGTCTAAGGCATGTACTGTCTTCGCTCGCTCGGAAACCGGGATCGTGGGTTCGAATTCCACTCAGGGGCATGGATGTTTAGTTTGTGTGTGTGTGCGCTTTTCTCTGTTTGTGTACAGGTAGAGACCTTACGACGAGCTAATCATCCGCCCAAGGAGTCCTACCGAATGCGTAAGATCTAGAGAAACCGAAGTGAACGGAGAAGTTCATGGAGGTAGGCCTAGGCCCACTGGGGCTGTAGTGCCAAGGAAAAAAATGTGTTACTATTATTTCAAAACGATCAGTTTTCTTGGAATCTAAAGGATTTTGATGCATCGTGTAATAGAGGGGCTGTATTTGGAAGAAGATTAACTCCATTTACAGTTTTAGCCAAGATTACAGACACCAATTTTGATGCGTAGCCTCGGAGATAATACACTAAGAGAGACAAACCGCATGAGATCTTTTCGTGGTGTTTGTACAAATAACGCACCATAACGTCAAATTGAACTTGTAGATCTGTGTAGTTTACCCAAGCACAGATAAAAAAAACATATTTAATGTCTCAAGATCTCGACTTCTAAATTTTATGGACCGGAATTTCTCGATGTAATGGCACTTTGTCAGCTTCCTACATTTCGCAAAAAAAAAGGGGGGGGGGTTGAATGAGGATGCTGAATTAGGAAATCTACTAATGAAACGCCTGTGACATATTCAAAAAATTCTTCTAGCGTTTGCCTGAAGAGACTTATGAAACCTACGGAAACCCTAAGGGCAATCGCTCTCATGACAGAACTTCTATTGTGTGCATCCTAGGTAAGTTTTATTACACCGTCCATTTATGCGCACCTTTTATCTGCATTACATACATGCATATAAGACGCTGCTTAACATTTTCAGTTGGAAAACGTCGTTAAGTAACTGAAAATCCGTCAATCATTCTTTTCCTACCGTCATAGAATAGACTCTTTGGCCTGCGTCCATTCATAATTAATTATTTATGGAATTTGAAACTCATAGAGAGAAGGTAGGACTCCTTGGATAGGTGATCAGCCCTTCGCAAGCCGCTACGTACACAGTACAATACAGACAGAATAAACGCAGAGATCCGTACCTCGAGTGGGATTCGAAACCACGGTCCCAATGTTTGAGCGAGTGAATATATTTCGTTCCTTAGAGAGCGCGGCTACTGTGATCGGCCACGTCACTCATTCATCCGCTGAAATTCGGAACAGAGTGGTTAGTACTCCTGCTGCAAACTGCAGATGTTTCGGGTTAGATTTTCGGCCCAGCGGCAGAAGATTGTCGTGGCTTCCTTTGGTCCCTCGAAGCAAATATTTTGTTAGTGTCTTAAAGCAAGCCACGACCGCTCTTTTCTCGCGTGTTGTAATTACGTTACAATATGCCGTTCTCAATCATACTACATTTAATACTGAGCATTCTATGCAGTTGATAAAGCAGCTTTAAGTAAACTAGGAAGTACCACACATACATTACTTTATACTGCTTACTTGGTGAACCCATTCATCATGTATATAGGCTATAATTTCATGCCTTTGACGTCTTTAGCCTGCTCCTACACTCTTAGAAGCCATGTTTGAAATTTATTCGAATAGAAGCACGGAACAAAGGAGATATAACACAAGCCTCATTAATCAGAAGATGAAATGTTTCGTCTTCAATGTAAAGATTTAAAATTGCTGGCAATGTGTTTGTTAAGGTCTTTCCCTTGACCCGAAATCTACATGTGGAAAACATGTTTCATATCTTTGTGCTAACGCATCAGTTATACAAGTTTGACATCAAAAGATAACTGAACTTTGAGGAGTATCTTTAATACTGTAAGGAATACATGTGAAAACTCTTGGACTGGGCATCAAATGTGATAAGAAATTAAACCCAATAATTTAAATTTATTCTCCGAACTAAATGTACTTTCTTCCACGAACAGTTGCCACACAAGGCCATTTTAATAAACGAGTATCACTTTGTGATTTATGTAGTTGAGAAACACATTCCAGCCTGTTAATAAGAGTCACGTTTCTGTTGATAGGTTCTGTGTGCATCAGTTAGGGGACAGGTTCCTTCTGATACGTACTGGCACGTATGAGTAGACAACTTCCTACAGATGCATACTGCTGCGTATTATCAAGAAACTTAAGAAACACTTTCCAGCCTGTTAATGAGGGTCACGTTTCTGCTGATACGTTCAGTGGGCATCAGTAAGGGGACAGCCTGGCCGCGCCATTTCATAATCGGTTAGTCGCTGGATTTCCACCGCGGCGGCCTGGGTTCGATCCCGGGGTCTGGTCAAGTGGGATTTGTGGTGGACAAAGTGGCGCTGGGACAGGTTTTCTCCGAGTACTTCGGTTTCCCCTGTCAATCTTCATTCCACCAATTGCTCCACAATCACCCTCACCTATTATCTGAGGCTGGTACAATAGGCCAGAAGTGGCCGCAGTACAAGGGACTTAGTCCCACCCAACTAGCAATAAAAAAGAGGGGAGGACTGGTACGTACTGGCACGTATCAGTAGACAACTTCCTACAGATGCATACTGCTGCGTATTATAAAGAAAAGTTGGGCTGCAAGAGCCATATTCCGGATAACGTATTTACGAGTCGCGTTCGATGATGCACATTGATTAATTAATTGACTCCATGCCGATCACAGTGGTCTGAGGCAAGAACCGTCTTCACCCGCTCAAACGCTGGGATCGTGGGTTCGAATTTACTTGAGGCATGGATGTCTGTGTGCGTTAATTCTGTGTTTGTGGTCTCCTGTGTTTAGGTAAGGCCTTGCGACCGGCTGATCTCCCGTCCAAGGAGTCCTACCGACTGTGTACAAAATCAAGAAATTGAAAAAGCGGCCAAGGTCCAACAAAGGGCTGTAGAGCTATAGATAGATAATTAAATCCATGGAGTTGTGCTCTACTTGAGAAGGCATTTATTGCTCAACTATTAAAAAATCTTGATATTTTATGGAACCGAGAAGTTCACCACAAAGTTCACAAGAGCCCATACTGGTCCACATACAGAGCCAGAACACTCAATCCTATTTCTTTAAGATTCATTTTAGTATTATCTCCCCAATTACCCCTGCGTCATGTACACTGATTCACATGTTTAAGTGAAGCTTTCAAGTTGATGCATACTGGTATCATTAAGAGATATTCTCCAGTTGATTTATACTGTATATTCTACAGCTGACACAACGTTATATTTCCGGGACGATGATGAGTTCCTTATCAGATTCCTGCGGCCCACCAAGTTCTACCCTGAGAGCGCACTGCAGCTGGTACGCAAGTATACAGAACTACTTTAAGAACCCGTAGAAGACATATGGCTATCTCCGTTAAAATTCTTGTTGAAGAACCACTCAGTTTGCATTTTATGGAAAAGTCAGTGTTCCAGTTCGGAATATCACCACATGCAAACTACATTCAAAACAAAATTGTTGCAAGTAGAGACCAAAAACTCAGTAGTCCTGAAAATTGTTGCTGTAGTAGAAATAATATGTAGAATATTCTGCATTGGTATATATTGAAAGACTAAACACTGAAAGACACAAAATCCTTATTTGCTAATTTCCTGCTTTTCAAACAAGTCTGTTGTAAACACGGCAGAGTTTTCCGGCAACTGACGAGACATTTGTCCAGAAGGTAACAAGGTCATGTACAAAATTTATGTTTGAAAGTGGTTTTGTGTAACTAATACTTCAAATGTATTTTATATGTAATATTATTTTATAAGATTGGATTATGTTTGCATCCACGATTTAAAGTTTGAGAAGAGCGTTCATACAAACTCATGTTAAATCCTTTCTTTTTTATTTCTACTCAAAAGCTGCAAACCGGCCTTCATTATTTGTAAATCACAAACATATAGCATTAAAAGTCACATAATGCAACAGGTTATAAAAACATACATAGATGTACAAATTGTATGGAGCAATAAATTAGGTCGGATTCTACTGATAATCTCGTGGCTTGTAGTCCACACGCGAACTATACCGACCGAGCGACCGCCGCTTTTCGGTGAAGTTAATGCCATCTTTAGCGGATAGAGGGTGTCACGTGGTCTGCGTAACGGTCCCCCATGGTCGTTAATCTCGGTTTTCTAGACCGGAGCCGCTATTTCCTTGAAATAGCTCTTCAATTACCCTCATGAGATTGAGTGAACCTCGTTCCAGACCCACTACTTCTCAGATAATCTGGTAGCGCCGAGAATCGAATCTGGGGCCTCTGGATCTGTAGCCAGGAACTATGAGCCCTAGACCACAGAGGTGGTCACTGATTCTTTCACGAAACCATGCTTTAGTACATTGTACTGTACCTCTCTTGCTATCCGTAGTGACGTCTATTCCAAATCCTACAAAATTATGTATAGACTACACGCCACAAGGTCATGTCATATTACGTCAGCATCACAGTCCTGGCATACCATCCACTCTCAGAAATATTTGTGCATGAACATACACCACACACCGCCATCACTTCGGCCCCTTATTCTGACCTACGCTATACCTTTAACACTATCACCCGACTGCACATTACAAAGCGGAAGAACCCTCCATATATATATTAACCTGCTAAAGGAACTTATGATGGTAGGCTTGAACTAGTTAATGGGGTGTACCTGGAAGCTATCTAAGGTAAGCCATCCCTGTAAAAGGCCGTCGAGGTCCATAGGCTTTCTGGGACGTTGAGGCTCCCACCTTTTCTAGACAATCGGTTCACAGATAGCGGTAAGGTTGTCAGCCTTACGCGTCGGGAGCCCTTTACACCCCAGGAAGACTCCTGGTATTCATTTCTGTTAAGGGGTTGAGTCGACCCCAGGTCCATAGTGCGGGTGGATTAGGGCAATTGAAAACTCCAATTACCTCAGTGGGAATAGAATCCGCGACCTCCCAGCTTGTAGCACAGTGCCTCAACTACATGATCGCCTGCCCCCGTACCAGGAAGAGAAAATAAAATGCTGCGACATGACATCTCTAACACTTTTCCAACCAGAAGCCGTCATGGTACTTATTACTAAGTGGCACTGGTATCAGAAGGGACAATAAAACACAGGAGCATAAAAGGCCTAAAATTATTCAGCAACTCTACACTAGTAACTTTATAGAATATGCAACGAATTTTGAAAAGGCTAACTACTCATAGCTAGAGAGGTACAATTTATTAATACATAGTCTCATATAGAATTTAAGTCGAATCTTACATAATTTGTTACTTCTTACATTTCCATAATTTTATACATATTTTCGCAACTATTCTGTTACTGTGTGGATTTCTTATACTATATATTTCCAACTGATAATTATTGTTTTACAGTCGAAACATGTAGCTTGAGAGTAGGAACAGAAAAAAGAAAATTTTTAACAGAAATTTGTTTGACGGCTGATGTCGAACATTACATGCCATATCTTCATTCATTTCACTTACTCGTACTTATTGGGAATGTAAAAGCTCTACCTTGAAAGGTTTTCCATTAAACTTCTAGTTAGTCAGGTGTGTAAGCCGCGCCATAGCTCAAGCCGTTAGTCACTGGATTCCCACCGCGGCGGCCCGGGTTCGATCCCGGGTCTTGTCAAGTTGGATTTGTGGTGGACAAAGTGGCACTGGGGCGGGTTTTCTCCGAGTACTTCGGTTTCCCTGCCAATCATCATTCCACCAAATTCTCCATCATCATAATCACCCGGGGCAGGCTACAATAAGCCAATCAGTGGCCGCCGTGCCGAGTGGACCCAGTTGGACTCCACCCCCCGCTAAGCGAATAAAAAAAAAATTAAAATTAGGCAGGTGTGTAAATTAAAAACTATAGTATAAACAGGTCTTGACTAAGAGCTGATCACTCGTCCAAGGAGTCGTACCGTCTGTAATATGGTCGTGAAACTGAAAATCAGAGGCCAGGGCCCAAGGGGGTTGTAGAGCCAATGAAAAAATCTCTACGCTTAATTAATTAAGCACTACTTCATGAAGACGTATAGGGGAGTACAGGTATAGCTCCATGTGTTCCTGACGTCGGTACTAGTTTACTTCCGAAGACAAAGCTCCCAGTAATCATTGGAGAGGAGACTGGATGGGCCCCAGAACCACTCTGGACGACGTGGAGAGGAGAACCCTGACCTTACTGGTACTCGAAATCAGGGCCCTCGGCCTTCTAACTCGTAGCCAGTCGTTATACCGACTGGGCTATCCCAGTTTGTAATTCTTTGTAAGTACTGCAATTAATAATACGACGTATTATCATGCTTCGACAGACGAAATTATTGTTGTTCCAAGTTATCCTATGTTCTCAGTTCCAAAAGGAACGCAGGGTTTTGTCTCCTGTAGCATCTGTCAGGCGACTGAACCTTATACCATGCTTCATTAAAGGGCGAGTAAACCCTATTTCCGTAGCAATAAGGGAATTGCGAAACAGAATGCAATGACTTGAGTTTAGTACAAGCTTATCAGAAACTATAAAGAACCTTGTCTAATTACTAATACACGATGAGTTTTCATAATTTATTTGAATGTCACAATTTACTCTTCAGCGATATTTGATAATATATTTGAGGACAAATAAACAATTTTTTATTCTGCATGCCACTCAGTGTTGATAATTTATTTAATTAATTCTCTCATAACAGATGAGAAGAGCTGCAGAGTTCAAGCTGAAGAATGCATCCATATTGGACAACTTAATGCCCGCCGATGAGGAGAAGTCGTTTCTGGAGAACCACGTAGTAAATGTGTTAGTGGACAGGGACCAAAAGGGTAGACGGATACTTGTAACGTATAATGGAGGCAAGTATGGCCTACTCTCCGATAACATTGTATGTTGATTACATATTTTCGGGTTTCAACGTCACTGTCAGTAACTCAAACCGTATAGACATACACGTAGAGTCGACTGGTCTGATGATTAATGAACTGGAAAGCAAAACTCCATGTTTTTAGTCCGCAAGCGAACTATACCGACCGAGCAACCGCCGCTTGTCGGCGAAGTTAGGTCCAACTTTAGCGGATAGAGAGTATCGCGTGGTCAGCGCAACGAATCCCCACGGCCATTAATTTCGTTTTTCTAAAGAAGTAAAATGTAAAAATACATTTGAACATATTCAAAGAGATAATCTACACAAAATTAACAAAAAACAACGCCTCGCACATATATCGCACATATATAAAACTAAATTGGTATTGTTACGATGTTTGTCTCGATGGACTAAGAAAAACTACGAAAAACGTCAGTCAGTAACATAATTCTTCAAAAATCCTCAGTTCTTCCTTTTCTTAAACTCGTAACACAGCACCACAGAAATTTGCAGTCGAACATCACTCTGATTAGTTTCAAATGCAACCAGCTGGTAGGAACTTAAAAGCAAAAGGCCGTACATCTCCGCACATAACATTCTTTCACTTACTGAAAATGTACTTTGTTATAATTACTGAACATTTGTTTCCGGTTAAGGTCGAGACTGCATTATCGACTGAAGTATAGGTACCTGTCTCAATGCCGCCTGGCTGTCTTTCCTCTAAATATATTATTATTATTGTTATTCGTGCTGACTCTGTAACTGGCCATTGGGTGTTGAGCTCAGAACGTAGATAAGTAAAATACTTAATTTAATTTCTACTATTAACATCATCATCACCACACAACCGCTTCTACTACTACTACGTTTCGGACAGCCTTCGCTTTTATGTACATAAGAGCATACATTTTGTGGCTCCTGCTACTTAACACGGTTCGACTTCCTTTATACGCGTTATTTACATTTCCTGTGTACTCCAGTTGATAGCCTACGGACTGACTAGCGCAGAATCGGGATTCAATTCATAGGAAGGCAAAGTCCAGGCGACCGAAGGGTCGGAGTTCGAGTACCGGTGGAGGTAAGATTTTTCTCCAAGTCGTCCAGACCGGCTCTGGGGTCCACCCAACCTCTTATCCAATGGGTACCGGGAGCTCTTTCCTGGGGTGTAAAGCAGCGAGGGCGTGAAGCTGACCACTCACTTCCAACTAGTGCCGAGGTCAAGAAAATGTGGATCTATACATCCACTCCCCCATACGCCTTCATTGTGTAGTGCTTACTTAGTTAAGCACATGGACAACGTTACGTTACGAAGTCCAGACCACCTCTGGAAACAACAACAATTTTTCTGTCAATCTCCAACGATTCAGACGCTAATTCTAGGCAACAGGCGGATAGACATGACCTCCATATGTTTTTTTTTTACTTTGTAAAGTAAGACTAACAAAAGCAAATGATCTTCGTCAAGAATGTGTGTAAGCGAACACTGTCATGTGACCTATAGACCAAGTTAGAAGATGTGGGTCCTACTAATTTCGTAGCATTTAATTTCTGTAACCAAACTACTCGAATGTCTACATAATATGGAATTGTATCTTATTTAATTATTACCAAATTAAAAATCTCTTTAATCTAAGCTGCCGTTGCTTTGAAATAAATATGCTATATTTTATCCACAGTTCCTTCAAATATAGACATAAAATTTTCTTTTGTGTGTACAGCAATTTGGGATCCCTCTAAAGTGAGTGCAGACCAGATATTCAGGATATTCTACCTTATACATCTAGCAGCGATGAAAGAGCCTCAATCGCAGATCTGCGGAACTGTGGTCATTATGGATTTCGATGGCTTAGGAATGAAACAAGTGAAAGGGCTTACACCTTCTTTCTCCATAAGACTTCTAACCTTCATTCAGGTATGTCAAACCCAATTAGCCGGTAAGTTTCTATGTGTTTAACTCATACATACGTATGGAATATTTTACCTTATTAAAAAATGTGATGTAGGATGCGAATGTAGGTCCTAATTTTTGCCAAATTAGGACTATTTAAATTATAGAAACGAATATATCTGAACGGTATTCGCGTCCAGATCTGTTCTTGGGCCCACCCAACCTCCTATACAGTAGGTAAATTGGGACCCTTTCCCCGACGGTAAAGCGGATGGGGCGTGAAGCTGACCACTCACATCCACCTAGGGCAACAATCGTGGAGCTATATTTATACTTCCCATAAGCCTCCATGGCGTGATGCTTAATTAAGCACAGGGACAACTTTAACTTTTTATCTTTTCTCACGACGCTTTCAACATCTCGGACCCAATAGAGTCGAACGGCAGGAACTGCAAACGAAACGGTCTTGACCAAATTGAGATATCCAGAATTTTTTAGCTGAATCTTGTTCCACTTTCACAAGGGGAAGAAGATAAGCTTATGGTACCATTGTATGTCTTTCCACGCGTATGCCAATTGTAATAAGTTTGAACCAATAGACGGATCTTCATGAAACTTGGTGTGAACATCCTATCACTCGAGGTTATTCCATATTTATACTTATCAATCCTCTACAGAAGATTATACGGCCGTATCTGTGGCATAAGCTAAAAACTTTATTTGCCATATTTGTAATTTTTAATATAATCCTACGAAAATGCCTTTCATAACAACTTACGTATATCTTGCGAAGCAGAGTAGACCATTGTAGGTCGCGGTGCAAGGGCCGAGAAGGCCTACCCCCCATACATTCACACGTATACTCGTATCTTTGTGATCTGGCTCTATACCTAATGTTTATCTGTGATGTTTCGTCAATTATAGCTATAAAATTCAGATGTTAATACCATATTTACGGCCGAAGTTCAATTCCCGGCAGGGGATAGAGACTTTTCTCCACTTCATGTCGTTCAGCTCGGCTCTGGGTTCCACCCAGCCTCCTATCTAATGGGTACCGGGGTCTCTTTCTCAGGAGGTAGAGTGGCCGAGACGTGAAGCTGACTACTCACATCCAACTAGTGCCAAGGCCAAGGTCTCCCATAAGTTTTCTTTTCCTGACACTTAACTAATTAAGTCCAAGATCAATTTTAACTTTTTACTTCACCTTATATACTCATTACGAGATCACCGTGTTATTTTACAATGAACACAAAGTGCCTTGATGTAAGTTGCATATTTGTCGACTCACTATCACACAAAACCTTTGGACCTTGACGCAAGCAGCGGTAGTATTGTTCCTCTGTCAGTATTTCACACGACCGACATGACGTTACAAACATGACGAAAGACAGGTAAGCACGATTGCAAACATAACGATAGGATGTCACCCAGTGATATAAAGTTTCTACTAAGTTTCGTGAAAACCTGCCCGTTGATCCGAAAGATATTAACATACATATTTCAATTCTGAAGATGGAGGCAGTAAAATCCTGCGGAAAATTAGTAGACTTCTGCTGGACTACATCTCAGAAGACAGTAGTCTTCACATTGCCGCTGTGATAACTTCAAATGAAACATAAGAATACTGTTCCTTATAAAGAAAATGGGGGGAAAAAATTAGCCTATTGTAAACTATTACACAGACAAAATGTTATTTCGATTTTCATACACGGACATTCAGTAAGGACGAAATTGTTAGCCAACACCTCTCTAACAGAGTGACGTCCTAAATTGTCAAAGCATCTAAATGGATTCAGCAAACGTAATAAACACTTTTTTTTTTCAGGAAGCAATGCCATTACGACTGAAAGAAGTTCACATCGTTAATCAACCGTACCTATTCAACGTGGTGTGGCAAATGTTCAAGCCCTTCGTTAAAGATAAACTGAAGAAGAGGGTAAGATCTTGTGACCTCTTGCGGATTCAATATGAAACACAGAAACATCCATGTTATTTCGATTAAAATTATTATTTTCCGTATTTAATATACTTAGTTCATGTTTTCTTCGACTTCACGAAATGTTACTTGATGAAAGATGCAATTTTTATCTTTAATTTCTGTAATGGTAGTTTATATATGACTTCTACTTCAGTTTCTCATACCATACGAGAGAAACCAGTACTAGCTGTGTGATTCCTAAAACCGCCATGTCCATCAGCCATCTTGTAGCAGTAAAGCTATAATTTATTGTGGAAATGCGTATGTCTTTATAATGTAAACTGCGGAACAGATTTCCTTGATGCTAGTGGTTCATCGGAGAAGGTTTAGCTCTTTCCATAATCCATCACTCGCTTCGTAGCGCTGATGTACCTTTGGATTGGCATTTATTTGGTGTTTGGGAGCTAAGTGACAGTAACATATCCCGCCATCTCTGAACTGTTGCAGATAACTAAGCGTGGCAGTTCAGCTGAGTAAATTGTAACTGTCGTGAAAGCGCACCAACAAAAGGAGATATCTTCACATGGAAACATGGAAACATAGAAACAGAAGAAAATCCATTTAAACACTCTAGTACAGAAAGACTTAAAATAAAATCCTGGAGAATCATTTATTAACAGTAATATTTATGGAGATGTGTTGTGTTCGAATCTCATGATAACTGCTTATACTTACAAAATAAATAGACCTGCAACTGTTCTACTCAAGAATAGTGGAGCTATACAACCACTACTCCATTTGTCTTCATGGCACAGTGGTTAATTAATCAAGCACAAAGACAAATTCTCCTATTTTTTACATTTTACAACTTTCAGAACTGAAATTATCATCTCAGTCAGGCATTCTGGATGCCCCAGGCACTCGACCCAGAGATAGTCTATCATGACTGAGATTTTTCGTGGTTTTTCTCGTTCCCCCAAGCAAATGTTGGGACAAAATATCTCTACTTAGGCCACTCCATTTTCTTCCATACATTTATTCATTTCATCCTTCAGTGACCATCCAATCATCCGAAGCTATAAAAATCTTTCAAAAACCATAATACTCTTAAATAAATAAATAAAATAGGAAAATAATAAACAATATCTTATTCACTCAGATGTTCTTCCATGGAAAGAAAATGGAATCGCTACATGAACACATAGATCCTGCCTACCTGCCCGAAAACTATGGCGGTAAACTTCCCAAGATCAATTACTCGAGTGTAGATTGGTATCCTGTCATCAGAAGCTTGGACGATGACTTCAAGGGTAAGAACGGAACAGAACTGTTTTACTGCAATGCATGCACATTCAATAAGTCTCAACACAAGCAATGAACACAAAAATTTAGTTAGTAAATTTATATGAAAAACTGTGGAGAACTAAGGTTACAAAAGTAACCCTTCATAGGCAAGCAAGTTCGGTTTCACCGTATGTCCTATAAGTAGGTTTCTATGGTTTCAGTGATGGACTTCAGAGATCAAAAAAGGCAGAATTTATTTAATAGATGAATGTCTATGTAGACTTCTCAGGGAAATACCTGTATCAGAGATAATTATCACTTATTTACTGGAACCTAGATGTGTTAGGGAAGGATTTTAGATGGTAAGGGATGGAAAACAGACGAAAAAGAAAAAATAAGTCCTTTACGAGAAACTGTCACATAAATCCGACATTTTTTAAAAGAATAGTCTCCATAATTTCAAAATATAGATTCTGACTTGCTCGGAGGACGTCGGTCAACACAATATCTACACGGCGCCACATCCCAGAAGACTGCTTACTTCGTAGTCACGGACGTGAAAACCTCAAATCTTACATTTGTTAAATATTGTTTGTGACAACTTTGAAATATTAGTATGTAATTTTGAACAAACACTACACATTCAAAATAATTATGATTCCAGAGTGGAATTCCTTTGGTATCGTTGAGAAGAAGTGAAGAGGAGATGAAGTGGCAACCTTCGGTGAAGTGGCTGCAGACGAAAGCAAAAATATTTGCGGAACTGTCATGCATATGACATTCATTTCCACTCACACGTTACCTCAATGCCATCTCTACTTGACACAATCGGTGTCCTTGTCCATTCCATATTGAATATCAAGTCTCGCACTCAAGTTCATATAACCATATCTGTAAACTTTAGCATAATCAATTACTTCAGTTATATTATCCCTCTTCTATAAAAAAATAACATTTTAACCAATTCTTAGAGAGTTGCAGTGCATTTGGATTTTGGTGATTTTTTCTTTCTCAAAAGAAGTAAAATTTTGAAGTATTGCGCAAAATCATTTTATAATAATCCAGAGATAATTTGATGCAATTTAATAATGTTGGCGAAATATAACACCATTCAACACTACTCTTCTACATTTCCTTGCGCAATTCTTCAAGAACTGATCTTAATACAGATTAAAGAGCAAAACAAAGGCAACAGTTGTTTCTGCTAGATGTCAGACATTGGTGTAGCTTCATGATGTTTGATTCTTCCACAATTCATTTTAATAAAAGCAAATTTAATCTGTTAGTAAATGTTTATGGTAATGTGTAATTTATATTGATTAAAAGCCACAAGTAATTAAATATTGAAAGATGGCCAGCGAATTTTCTTTTGTTAAGTTCGCTAGTGATCAATGAACTCAAGCCAGAACGGCTACTTTTTAAAATAAGATATTTAATGTATGTTGTGGGAGGGCTTAGAAAATATTTTATTTGCAAGTTTCAAAATTTACCATATAATCAGGAACAAAATTACAGTATTTCACTAATATTCAATTAACACCATGTGATATTTATGGAAATTAGTTATGTAATTGCTTACAACGGGTGAACTGTTTCGACAAATAGGGTCTAACGCATTCCATAATCCTTCTATTGATCGTTATCCCAAAATATGAAACTTCTGTGAGCTCACTGTCATACTCAAAATACTGTCACGATTTAGAGTGACTACAGACGGGGTTTCGCATAATTGGAATTACTGACCATTTTCAGGCCGTAAATAAAAATAACTATAACACTATCTCTGATATCCATACCACAAAGCACTCCACGCTGTCTTCACAGTCTGCTTTCACTAGTCGTTGTTCGGTAACAGCTCTCAACAATGGCTATTCCTCTGCAATGTTTTTACTAGACGTTTCCTGGCAACGGATATTAGCAATTGCTATTTCCCTGCTTCCGTGCTCAAGTCTCGTACAGAACTAACTGCCAACTGCTTGGTTCGCCCCAATTGTCTTCAACACAACTCCTCGGTATGGACCACGCAGAAAACAGAGCCCCACTATTGTTGTAGAGGCACTCTTAACACGCCGTTGCATAGCAACAGTCTCGAAGTGGAATTCATAGAAAACACCGTTTTTCTATTGTTATATGCGTGTATGTTGCGGGCGATACCTAGCAACGGCCGCTCTTTATATAGTCACTGCTTAGCAACGGATCTATACGCCACAATATAATAACTGTTTTAAGCATAGATATTTTGTTGAAAAATATAATTATGCTGAACAATAATAGCAGTAACATCAATTGCTATGCTTATGTAACGAATTTGGTGTTTTAATTCAAACTGTGAAAATGACTTGTTTTAGAAAATTTTTACATATTTTCATGGAATATCCTGTCTTGTATTTTGAGCTGAAAGTCAAAGATCATGATACTTTTGTACTGCAGAGATCAGTCAAAGCCATAATTTAAATAACTCTAATTTAATAGGAACTTTCATAATTTAAATAGGCAGCGTTCTATTATGTAAGATTTTATGCTTACATGGTACATACATTCTTTGAAATCTTCTCGAACCATCAGAGACATCAACGCCGAGTCAAAAACATCGACCCTTATTAAGAAGACTGAGGTGGTCTCTAAAACTTTGGGTTTTTAACTCAACAATGAAACGGCTCATCGTCCGAAAAGATTTTAGACTACTGCTCTTAGGGAAATTAAGAGAAATGCATATATTATTTAGGTAAGGAAATCTTTCTTAGAGCTATACATCCAAGACTGTGAAAGAGCATTAAGAAATCATCTTAGGAAATGATTTGTTGGAATTGAAGTTTAATGGAGCTGGTTCAAGACTATGCCAGACAACTAACTAACTCCATGAAGATGAGTCCTTGAGAAGTTGCTCAGTTACTCAAGAATTTTCCAATATTTTATGGAAACCGAAAGTTCATTACCGTGTTAACAAGAGCCCGGCACTGGTCCCTAGCTTGATCCAGATCAATTCAGTCCATACTGTCCCATTTCATTTCTCTAAGAACCATTTTAATATTATCCCCCCACTTACGTTTATTTCTTCTTAGTGGTCTTTTTCCTTCTGACTCCCCCACCAAAATAATACATGCACTTCTTTTGTCCGAATGCGTGCTACATGCCCCGCCCATCTACTCCTCTTTGACTTGATCATTCTAATTTCATTGGACAAACAGTGCACGTTAAGACGCTCCTCATCCCCAACTACGGACCTGATGACGGCGTCACTTCACTGACGGTTCTACCGTCACATTCATTTCTGAAGAAAATTTCAAGTTTGTATCCACATTGCTGACATATATGACAAGAGCATATATGTTTATTTTTATTTGTAATTCATTTAACGTTGCTTTCAATAGCGTCGAATAAGTGGATGATAGTAAATTATGAATTTGGTAGGATAAGATACGAAGCGGTACTGACTTAATTTAAGTTACCATCCCATCGTTTTCCAGGATGGACAGAGTAAAACCATGAGAAACCTCAATGAATAGTCGGTGTCCCGGCTAGTGATAGTGAGCTCACTATGGAGGTATTAGATCCAGTCTTTCTTGCACCAGACTGAGCCGAATAGCTAGCGTCGCGTTCTGACTGTTTTACCCTTGGGGATGGATCCATTATATCCCCTGGACAAAAGGGTAAGTGGAGCCTAGATCCGATATGGATGCAATGGCGAAGAAAACATTATCCTCATCCGCCAGGGAATCAAATCCCAATTCTCCGACTGCCCAGTCCGTAGCCTAGTAACTGTACTGACCATAGCTCAAGTGGTTAGTCGCTGGCTTCCCACCGCGGCGATCCAGGGTCTGGTCAAGTGGGATTTGTGGTGGACAAAGTGGCGCTGGGGCAGGTTTTCTCCGAGTATTTCGGTTTCCCCTGCCAATCTTCATTCCACCAATTACTCCACAATCCCCCTCACCTATCATCTGTGGCTGGTACAATAGGCCAGAAGTGGCCGCAGTACAAAGGACTTAGTCCCATCCTACTAGCAATAAAAAAACTGTACTGACTGAGCTACCAGGACTCTACAACGAGAAATATCATAACGCAAACCGACCATGGGAATCGGTAAATGAATACTTGAATTAGAGTGTGATGCTTACTTCAACAAGTTAATTTTCTCGATTTAATTAGACTAGAGAACATGAAGAGATAAATGAATACGAGCGCGACACTCGACCTTAAAGTACATGGAGGAAGATCAGAGCAATTCTTCTACATCATCCTGAACTTCATGGCCACGTTATGTACTTCCCACGTACTTGCTCCGAAATACAAATGCAGCTGTCCTGAAAGACGACGTGGATTATTATCTTTGAGGATGTGACATCGTATAGCTTAGAAGATCGTTACAAAAGTTTCGAAGGAAACCGCTGCCTCCATCTTTACGGTAGAACAAACTGAGCGTGAAAGAAAATGGCACGCATCACTGCTCTCTTCACTCTTAGTGGTTCACTCATGATCATGGTCTCTGTCCGGATTCTCTCTCTCACTGTCGCGCCATTATTTCAATACCCTGAAGATGGAGGCAGGTTTCATCGAATCTTTATTAACGGCCAACCAGACTACATGACATTACATCCCAGACGAAAGTAATCTTCATAGTCAGCACCGTCAGAACCTCAGATTTCTCTCACAGAGACGACGTTTGATGTTTGCTTAGTAAAGGAGTGGAGTGGACAATGAGATAAGCGAAGTTGTCATGCTTCACAGCAAGACTCTTTCAGGTGGAGAATGCTTAATAAGAGATGAAAACGCTCTGAATGCTGATGGATCAATTATATATTGTCACGTGTAGAGATGACTATTAGACGGGGTACGGATTGGATGAATGGATTTATTGACCACTTTAACACACGACTCGTGAGTACACGTAATTTCAGCGCCACTGCTGATTTACACACTTTACGGTTCACCGTTACACACACTAGGTTTCTCAATCTTCACTAGTCTTGTCCTGGAAACGGATTTGAACACAGTAGTCAAACCAGTCTCACTGTAACTGCAGCATACAGGAAGTCATCTTTGCACAGCCTAACTCCTTTCTTGCCATTAAGCTGCCAATTGCCAACTCCAGAGGCTCTCAATTCAAATTCTAGTTAAAGTCGAAGTTACTTTACGACTGGCGGTTTACCGCCAATCAGTTTGTCTTGACGTCAAGCTCCTTGAGACCCACAACCAGAGATATCCCTCCACCCCAACTGAACCTTTGCTGTATTAGTCCTTATGTAACACCCTTTCTAACGAGAAGATGGGTTTGTCTGTTACGAATATGCTTGGCCTTTCGTCAAGTGTACATTTCGCCCATACAGCGTGTTGCCTTTGCACTACTCGCAAGTCCTCCGTCAGTACAGGCTTTGGAGAGCAGATCATCCATATCTTACATACGTGTATCTTATACTGCAACGGCAGCTAAGTCATTTGAACGGTCGTAAGCTCGACTCCCGTCAAGCTTAAGCCTCTTATATTTTCGACGTCTGGCTTCGCCTTGTTCTATAACGCGAACGTGTCCATTCTCGTGGTTTTGTATGACTTCTGCTTGCTGCCTGCACAATTTTATTGCATAATTATATAAATACGGAAGGTTAAAAACTGTGTGCAAATCGCGGACCTGTGTGCACATTGGAAAACTTCCAGTGATGCGCAGAACCTTGTTTTGCATGCGCTCAAATTTGAGAGGTCTGCCGCTGGTGTCCAGGCGGGGCATGCGTTATGTTGTTACTGATCTGATCAGTGCCTTGTGGAGGTTTAGTTTGAGAGATCTTGCGCAGGTGTCCAGGCGGGGCATGCGTTACGTTGTTACTGATCTGATCAGTGCCTTGTGGAGGTTTAGTTTGAGAGATCTTGCGCAGGTGTCCAGGCGGGGCATGCGTTACGTTGTTACTGATCTGATCAGTGCCTTGTGGAGGTTTAGTTTGAGAGATCTTGCGCAGGTGTCCAGGCGGGGCATGCGTTACGTTGTTACTGATCTGATCAGTGTCTTGTGGAGGTTTAGTTTGATGTTGGCGCCTAAGCGCTCACTTTTCAATAGGAAGCAGATTCTAATAAATGTTTTGAAGGTCTTCGCTTCAATCATTTCTAAGTGCAGTCTCCATGTAATCCTTTTATCGAAGATTACACAGAGAAATGTAAGATTTGTGGTTTTCAGGGCGGTGACTACGAAGAATTCCGTCTTCTGGGATGTGGCGCCATGTAGATCACACTCGAGCGAGGAACCAGCGTGAGCAGGTGGCTGCATTTCGCGGATTTTTCTACCCTGAAGATGGAGGCGATACGTTCCTCCGAAACGTCGGTTCACAAAAGATCTACACGGCGCCACATACCAGAAGATGGCGTTCTTCCTACACCGAGATATTTGACATGACTGAGGGGATATTCCGTCCATCCAGTATAAGATGAGCCTCTGAGGGCTTAAACGATGAGAAAAGTAGATGGCTTGAGTCTTATTTTCATTGATTTTTGTTGTCCCAGCGCTCACACCAGTCTCAATTGCACTGAGACCTCGCTGCAACTTTCTGAGTATATAACCCTCTTTGCGGTCTGTCGCATACATACAGGTGTCGTCAACAATGAGACACAGATAGACACCAGGCGTTTAAGGTGTATCATTTATATATAGACTGTACAGCGTGGGGGACAGGAGAGAACCTTGTGGCAACCCTGGTGCCTTGGTGTAGACAGTTCACATTCAACCGAAACTCTGAATTTTCTCTAAGAAAGGAAAGAGCTAATATACTTGATTAAACTGATCAAAAATTTTAACTCTGA